GGTAAAACTTATAAGTTGTCAAACTCTCTGAAAAACTTCCTGTCTTCTGCCTCTAACAATTTCTCCTCTAATGCTTGTACCTGCTTCTCATTGGTCAATTTTGTCACGTGTATATTCTACTTAAATATAGTAACAGATCTATATATATATATCTCATACAGTACGTTTATATGTCCCCTACTCCCTGACCCACATTATAGTATCTATATTACTGAAGACATGATGGAAGGGCCTTGTATTCATGTTGTGTATAAACTCAAATTAAATAAAATTTCCATTTGTACTCGCCCCCTATTGTTATCCGTCTTCGTCCGTCATGCGTCGTGCCTCGTACGTTAACATTTTACATTTTCAACTTAAGCTGAAATACTGTCAAAGGGATTTCATTGATACTTCATGGGAATGTTACTGACAACTCCCTGACAAAGTTTTGTTATTTTTCGGGTCGATCAGAAATCCAATATGGCCGTCACGGCCGCAATTTTGAAAGAAACAATTTCAAACTTAAAGTCAAATTCTACTTGGCTGATTTAAATGAAACTTGGCATGAATGATCAACTCATGGTCCTGACAAAGTGTATTTTTTTGGGGTCGATCAGAAATCAAATATGGCCACCACGGCAGCCATTTTGAAAAATTATTACAAACTTAAAGTCAAGTTCAACTGGGCCTATTTAACTAAAACTTTGTAGGAATGATCAACTCATGGTCCTGACAAAGTTTTTATTAATATTCGGATAGATCAGAAATCCAATATGGCCGCCATGGACGCCATTTTGAACAACTATTTCAAACTTAAAGTCAAGTTCAACTTGGCCAATCGAACTGAAATTTGGTAGGAATGATCAACTTTTGTTCCTGACAAAGTGTGGTTATATTGGGGGTAAATCAGAAATCCAATATGGCTGTCACAACCGCCATTTTAAAAAAACTATTTCTAACTTAAAGTCATCGATACTTCATGGGAATATTACTGAGAACTCCCTGACCAAGTGTTGTTATTTTTCGGGTCGATCAGAAATCCAATATGGCCGTCACGGCCGACATTTTGAAAAACTATTTCAAACTTAAAGTCAAGTTCTACTGGGCTAATTTAATTGAAACTTGGCAGGAATGATGAATTCATGGTCCTGACAAAGTGTTGTTATTTTTTGGGTTGATCAGAAATCCAATACGGCCACCATTTTGAAAAAATATTTCAAACTTAAAGTCAAGTTCTACTGGGCCCATTAAACTGAAACTTGGTAGTAATGATCAACTCGTGGTCCTGGCAAAATGTTTTTTTTCAGGTCCATCAAAAATCCAATACGGCAGCCATGGCTTCCATTTTGGAAAATAACATTTAAAACTTAAAATCAAGTTCCAATAGGCCGATTTAACTGAAACTCGGTCTAGGAATGATCAACTTATTATCCTGACAAACTTAACTAAAGCTATATTTAACTTTTTTTTTTACTCAAATTTTGGTAGGGATGATTGACATCATTATCTCCACTTCATATTTCAAGAACAAAAATTAATACTGTAGGACTCAGGTGACCGTTAAAGGCCCATGGGCCGTTTGTTCATTATTTTGAGCACTTTCCCAAAGGAGTCCCACTTTTATGGAATATGATTTGTTTTTGCATATTACATCACTGAATAAAACGCTTGTTCAAAAGTTGGTCCTATAGTTATATTTTCGGTATCATATTAAGAATACCGAATATCTCAGCAGTTCAAAAATTCATATTCAATAGGTTTTATATCTATTCTATGCATTTCGCAAGAAATTATTTACCCATTAATATTTTTTCCCGTATTCATAAATGCCGACTTAGGAAAATATGGGCAGTTTTCCGCCATAGCTCTTTACGATAATCCTTTGTTCCCAGGATAACAAACACAGATGGAAGAGGAGGGTTTTTCGGTAGCAGTGACCAGTGGACAGCTGGGACTTACAAACTCTACTTTGATACAGGATCCTACTTTGCCAGCCTTCACACCAAGGGGTTTTACCCGTATGTAGAGGTCAGTGAAGGTTATCAGCATTCTGTTTTCTATGATGTCAAAATATGTCCATTTACATGTAGGATAACACATCCTCGACATTTCAGGACAAAATTGAAGACACAATTACGTGGTAAGCTTCTGGATGTTAGTTTTAGATAAAAAAAAAAGTTGACCAAACGCTACCCTGATACCCATCCTAAGAAGATTAAGGAAGATTATTTTAATATGCAGTTTAAAATCCTGTCAATATTTTGATGCAATTCAAAGCCTGATCTAGTCTGCTTGTGTCGGGTAACGGATACATACAGAACCTTTCATTTCATCATGACATATTCCAAGAGTGCAGAAAACTTAAATGAGCGTAGCCACTGTAATTTTGAGGATGATAAACGTACCATTCTTCAGTTCACATTTCAGTACAATACAAAAATACTTAAATATCAGAACATTTGCGAAAGATTGATTATTTTATGTTTTCTGCAATGTTAAATATCTACCGGTACATTATGTTAGACAAATCACACTATAAAAACCCAACTTGGGGAATGTTTCACTCCTGTAGGATCAACAATAGAAGTACTGTATTTGAGCACTTTTGAAGTGTAGTTTCTAAATATTGTGTAACAGTGAGAATTGAAAATTGCAGTAAAGCAAGATCAACTGAAGACGCGAAGTACAGCATAGATGTGCCCAAACAGTTGTAACAGAATCAATGAATTGAAAATAAAGCTATTAGTTTTTATTAACTAAGGGCATTCCCACTATTACTAACACCTTCTACCAACTTTTTGCGGATATCTTTTTTCTTGAATATCGCTGAATGCTAGTGTTTTTATATAAAAATATGACATTTTAGATAATTAATCAAATATCCCTACCTTTATATCCAATGTAAAAAGTTTGGAGAGAGAAACTGCAACCAATGCTTAAAGCTGGCTCAAGAGGTAGATATACACTTAAAAGGTAGATATACACTTAAAAGGTAGATATACACTTAAAAGGACACTATAAAGAATCTGCATTTTTAATGTTTCTTGATATCGAATGTAATGAAACCGTATTGTCAGCAAGATGTGTATGTTTTAAATATTTCCTGTCATTATTCTCAAATTGCCCCCAATATTCACGACTTCATGTACATGTACACAGTTCAATAGATTGATCATACACTGATGATAACGTACTTAGTAATTAGTTTAAGGTGTGTTATTGTAGAACATATTTACACACAATGGCAATTAAATATATTTGGTGTGACGACATAATTTAAATGCTTAAGTATATTATAGATATTGGTTTTATAACAGATGTTAACACATTATGCTTATAGTGTACTCATATAAAAATATATACATGTGTGTATTGAATACAGTAAAAGCCCGCTTACTCGATCTCGTAGGGTCCAGATCAGTAGTTCGAGGAATACATGGTATTTGATGAATCCGAAGTTCGACCGATGCATGTCTTTTGACATAGTTCTCCATACTGTAATCGGCTACGTTAATTTGAACACGTGTCCTAAAGTGTCTAAAATGTACCTCAGTTTGAGTTCTGCTGCAGGTTTTTGATTATTTTTCAACAAAAATCGATGTAAAGTGAGAAAAGACCTAATTCTCACAAGTACAAAGATGAAATAAAATGCCGATGTTTTGTTTACGTTTTGATCCCAGAGAATCATTTTCAATTATTCTGATACAAATTTATGGACGTCGTCATGATCTCTTTTTGGAAATACATTTATATCTCATTTTGGAAATACATTTATAGATGTCTATCTTTTTGATTATATGCATTAATGTTTCTTGTTGTTTTGTTGCGACTACCCCAATTCTCGCTATGAGGACGTGCCATTACTACATTACGTGCTGGGTGTCAAAGATGAAGCAGAAAACGCTTAATCCTCCAAACAAAAGTGTACTTTTTAATGGTCTTTATGAAAATCTTTCCTTTATCCATATTTTGCCCTATTTTTATCCATTTTAAGTTCTTACGATAGTTTTGTTGCCCCCTCGGTATTCTCTATATTTCTTTTAATCATTAGATGAAGTAATTGTGTTGTACACCAAATGTAATGACGTTTATAACGATGTCGCATGTAAAACAGGCAAAGTAGTTATTTTTCTGATTTTGCTCACATTTGAATCTGATATCTTTCCATGTTTCATTTTAGGTGGCGTTTCATGTTGAAGACCCGGGTCAGCATTACCACGTGCCTCTGTTGTTGAGCCCGTATAGCTACTCCACCTATCGGGGCAGTTAGTACAAAGTGACAAGGGAGATAACTAACAACCAAATAGTATATATATAATCTGTTGTTTTTATTCAGCTTGTAATTTTAATCCATAAATATAAATACAAATGTTATAACTGTAAATGGATCCTGAACTTATACTTAAGTAAATTATGACATACAACAACTACAAACTGGCTTACAATTTATATATTGTTTTTAAATAGATTTTTACGTTTTACATCCTTTGACCAGCTATGGTCATTGAAGGACGGTGTTTTAACTATAAACAGATATGGCTGTGAGGAGTCGGTATGCCGTACTATCTTACGTGTTTAGCACTGTGTACATGTACATTATGTATTGACACAGATTTGGAAAAGACTTATGAAGACACAAGTGAAATATAAACTTTCTAATAGATTATATTTACAAGTTCCATGTAACATTTTCAAATATGTGGAATATCTTACACATTTGTCGACTCACAATTTGGCAATACATATGTAGATATATAGTTTACATTGATTTTACACTGTATTTATACTGAGATGTTCTAAACAACATAAACAATATAACCAAACAATACAGCTGACGATGTCATTTCCAATGTTTGGATTTTGCTTGAAATGATTTTATGCTACGGGTCTCGTTTGTGAATGCACATGTACACGTACCTATTGTAGAAGAACGTTTCGGAAGACGGCAGAAAATCGGCCCGGTGAATGGACATTCAATTATTGAGGGCAAGTTCCAAGTATCCAGTCATCAAATAGACTACAGGCACATGCTTTTTTTTCCCATTCCTGAGCAATCAACATGCACAAGTAACGTTCCGACTGTTACAACAGTAGTCTTAATCTCCACGAACTGATGAACACTGTCACAACAGTAGTCTTAATCTCCACGAACTGATGAACACTGTCACAACAGTAGTCTTAATGAACTATTTACATTAGTCTTGATGAACACAGTCACGCTGAACTCAGACGCGTATTGTTTTGTATGTACTTAAACCGATAATGGAGTACCATTCCATTGTTAATACGTTTTGGATTCCGTCGTAAGAGTTTTACAGAAAATTCTTTATTTAATTCAATTTATTGACTGTAGGCCTTACGGCCCATGATCAGTACATATTACATACAATACATAATAAGGATGTGAAACAGCAAGACAAAAGTGGAGTACGAGTTAAAGAAATACAGCTCTTATGTTATTTGCTTCAAAAATAAATTTTCCGAGACGGCTTAATTCATTGACACACAATAACTGTAATTTAACTTTAATCATTGAAGGTTTTTGCCAATAGTGTTTTTTGATATATGAACCTTCACGATTTGGTGATAATGTGTACAGCTGATATTCGTTTGCAAAGTGAACGCCTAACATGACATACTGAACAAGACAAACAGCCTGATTGAAATAAGCTTGTCAACTGTACAGCCATACGTTTTAGCGGCAGCTGTCAGTGAATTTCTAGCTAACAAAAATGTCTTTTTAGCCGTGGAGCGACGGTAACGTCTCGTTTTATTCGCCTTTTATTCGATTCTGAATCAAAATCATCTTCCAATAGCATCTAATACATCGTTATAAATGAGTGATATTGTTTTACGTTTCTGCGGTTTGAACTTCTCTCTGCGGCACTCTCTCAGTGAGTGCATTCTCTTATTGAACCAGTTCGTTTTTATTCAAATCTAAATGTGAACAGATATATATGATTAAAGGTATATAAAGTATTATTAAAGGTATATAAAGTATTAGCTCATAGTGAGCTTATGCCGTGGCGCAGCGTCCGTCGTCAACCTTTTTAGGTCACCTGAGCTTTGCTCAAATGACCTGTTCCAATCACTTTCCGTCCGTCCGTCGTCCGTCGTGCGTCGTGCGTAAACTTTTTACATTATCAACTTCTTCTCAAGAACCAGTGGATGGAATTTTTTCAAACTTGGTCAGAACTATCCTTGGTAGATGAGGCTACCAAATTGTAAAATTGGGATTCCTATCCCAACCCTAGGGGCCAGGGCGGGGCCCAAAAGGGAAAATTAACCAATATTTCAAAAATCTTCTTCTCCAGACTCAGAGGTATTACAGTCATTTTCTCTGCATGGATGGAAAGATCATCAGGGGCTTTATTTAAATTGTAAATTTCAGGACCCCCGAGCTATCCGTTCTCCCTTGGGGAGGGGGTAAAGTTTACTATAGTTTATATAGGGAAACAACACTTTTGG